TATGTATTTCTTGCCATTTTATTACTTGTTTTGTGGTTGGTTCTGAAATTTTTCTCTGATCATTCTCTTTCCTTCTTTCTTTCTTTCATGGTTCGCTGGGTTTCCTTAGTGATACATTTAGATTTCAGATTTCTTTCTCTTTATTCTTTGCATACATATTAGTGGTTTTTGATTTGTGGTTACAATTAGGTTTGCATATAACATCTCCTGTATATAGCAGTCTATATCAAGTTGATGGTCATTTAAGTTTGAACTCATTTTTTACTCCTCTCCTTCCCATGTTTAAGATATATGGTGTCATATTTTGCAAGCTTTTATTTTGTGAGTTCCTTTACTGGTTTTTTACTGAAGTATTAATTTTTATTGCTTTTGTGTTTCCTACTTTCATATTCTCATTTATAATCCTTCCTTTTCACTCAAAGTGTCCCCTTTAATATTTCTTGCAGGCTGGTTTAATGATCATGAACTTCAGTTTTTGTTTGTCTGAGAAACTTTTTTTTAAATTATGTTATGTTAGTTATCTGAGAAACTCTTTATCTCTCCTCCTATTCTGGATGATAGCCTTGCTGTATAGAGTATCTTGGCTGTAGATTTTTCCCATTCAGCAATTTGAATGTATCATTTCCCTCCCTCTGGCTTGCAAGGTTTCTGCTGAAATGTTCACTTACAGCCTTATGGGGTTTCCCTTGTATGTAAGTTTTGATTTGCTGCCTGTAAAATTTTTCTTCATCACTAAATCTTGCCATTTTAATTACAATATGTCTTAGTGTGGATATGCTTTTATTTATTTTGTTGGAGCATCGCTGTGCCTCTTGGATCTGGATATCTGTTTCCTTCCTCAGATTAGGGAATTTTTTTGTTATTTTTGCAAGTAAATTTTCTGCCCACTATTTTCTCTCTTCTTCTGAGATCCCTATAATATGAATGTTATTATGTTTGATGGAGTCTCTCAGTTCCCTAAACCTATTCTTATTTTGCACAATTCTTTTTTCTTTTGTTCAGCTTGATTACTTTTGGTTACTCTGTCTTCTAGATCACTAATTTGTTCTTCTGCTTTTTCCAGCCTGCTGTTCATTTTATCAAGTGTTTCTCATTTCATTTATTAAACCCTTTATCCCTGTTATGTTGTTCCTTATCTGTGTATTAAGGGACTCACTGATGCCTTCCAGTCTTTTCTCAAGTCCAGTGTGTATCTTTATGATCATTACTTTAAATTTTCTGTCAGGCATGTCACTTATATCCGTTTTGCTTGGACCTCTGGTCATGGCCTTATCCAATTCTTTCATTTGGAATAAATTTGTCTGTTTTCTCATTTTGTGTAAGTCCTTATGCATGTTCCTGTATGTGAGGAAAGTCAGCTACTTCTCCTGTTCTTGAGGATAATGGCCTTATGAAGAAGAGGTCCTATAATACCCTGTAGTATAGTGTCCTCTATTCAGGGCATGTCTCCAATTGGTGCTGCATGTGCTCTGCCACTGTATCATGGCTGCTTTATCCTTCAGGCTAGTCATCTGAAAAGGCTCTCTTCACCTGTTGTGGGTAATATTTGGTACCTGGTCTGAGTGTGGCAATTTTTAACTAGGTGTGTTCTGGACTGCTTGTGCTTCCACCACTGCTGCCAGAACCAAGGCCCTGCAAAAATCCTGGTTTGAAGGATGCAATGTGGGCAGGAGTTTGAGCTGGTCTTCTAGGGGAAGGGTATTGCCACAATGGAACTGAGGCAAGCATGACTTGGAAGGGCAGTTCCACCAGAGTGTGTGTGGGGGGTCACAGTTTGGTATAAGCTAGTTTGGTTGCAAGTGTAGGCCTTGGCTGGGTCCCACAAGTGGTCCTGTTCTTAAACTGAGGGGTAGGGGAGAGAAATAGTGCCTGTCATTCCCTTTGTTCCCAGTGGGGTCTTTCCCTGAATGCTACCACTCAGTGACACACTCCAAGATGAGCAAATAACCTCCCCATTGTGTGTCCCAGGCACTCTTCAGATTGCTGTTTTCAAGTTTTATGCCTGCAGACTGTTTGCCCTGCTTTCTCTCCAAGAGCATCCTTAATGCCCTCTGTGCTTTCCCAGAGCCAATCCTGCTGCCTTTAAATCTCCAGGCTTTAAGCCTTGGTGGTTGCAAGAACTCACAAAATTCAGCCTCTCTTACTTTCCAAGATAATTTCCATTGATGCTTGTCTTCCCTATGTGGGCTCCCCTGTGTGCTAGTCTGTCTCACCCTTTTCTGCAACTGCAGCTCCTTCCCCACCATGGTGACAATGATCTGGTTCTCTCCCAAGGTGTGTTTCCACACTTCTTACTGTCTTCGATGTGGACTCTTCTTTACCTTTAGTTGTGAAGTTTGTTCTGCCAGTTTTCAGGTTGGTTTTGGGGTTATTATGATGATTTGATAGTTATCTAGTTGTATATGTGGGACAAGGCAAGCCTAGAGTTTTCCTACTCCACCACCATCTTCCCAGATTTCTTTGTTTCTATTTTTTTTTTTTTTGCTTTTTGCTCATCTGAGCATTTTTCATGATCCCATTTTATTGCTTGTGTTTACTTATCATTTATATATCTTTGTGCTTTTTATTTTTTATTTTTTTTTTTTACTTTTTTAGTGGTTCCCCTAGCGTTTACAATGTATGTTTTAAAATAATTTGGGTTCACCTTCAAATAACACTATATTACTTTACATGTAGAACAAATACCTTATAACAGAATATTCCCAGACTCTTCCTCCCTTTCCTTGTGTCAGTGTTGTATTTATTTCATTTTGATATATGCTATGAACACCCAATACATTATTACTATTATTGCTTTAAACGGTCAGTTATCTTTTAGAACAATTAAGAATATGCAAAATAAAAGATATATTTTGCCTTAATTTATTCCTTTTCCAATGCTCTTCTTTAATGATGTAGATCCAATTTTCTGACCTATATCAGATCTTTTCTACCTAAATATTGTTCTTTAATATTTCCTATAAGAAAGGTCTGCCTGTGATGAATTTCCTGTTTTTTTTTTTTGTTTTTTGTGGTTTTTTTTTTTTGTATGAAATAAAAGTATTTATTTTGCCTTTATTTTTGAAGGACATTTTTGCTGAATTTAGAATTCTGGATTGGCAGGGTTTGTGGAGCTTTTTTGTTGTTGTTGCTGTTGTTGTTTACTTTCAATATTTTAATTTTTTTATTCCACTATCTTTTTTGCTTATGTGGCTTCTGACAAGAAGTCCAGTATAATTCTCCTTGTTCTTCTGTAAGTAAGGTGTTCCTACTACCCCTTTTTCCTGGCCTCCTTCAGTATTTTATTTTTGCCTGATTTTCTGCAGTTTGAATTTACTATGTCTAGGTGTGGTGTGCTTCTTTTTAAAATTTTATTTATCTTGCTTGGTATTCTCTGAGATACTTGAATCTGTGGTTTGGTATCAATAACTGAATTTTGGAAAATTTTGGCAGTTCTTTCTTCAAATATTTCTTCTTTCCCATTATCTCCCTCTTCTCATTCTGTTATTCTAATTACATATATATTACATTATATATATATATTCTAATTACATATATATGTCTATATGTGATATTTCTATGTTACATATATATTACACTATTTGATACTTTCCCAAAGTTCTTGGATGTTTTGTTCTGGGTTGTTTTGTTTGGTTTGTTTGTTTTTTTACTATTTTTTCTCTCTGCATTTTAGGGTGTGTAATTTCTACTGATCTATCTTCAAGTTCATATATTTCTCAGCTATGTTAAGTTCACTTATGAGAACATTGAAGACATTCTTCAGATCAATTACCGTTTCTTCTCTTGCATTTACATTTGATTATTTCTTATACTTTCCATCCCCATACTGAAATTATCTGATCTTGCATGCTGTCTACCTTTTCAATAAAACTTTTAACTTATCAATCATAACTATTTTAAATTCCTTGCCTGATAATTCCAACATGAGTATCATAACTGAGTCTGATCCTAATGATTTGTCTCTTCAGACTGTTTTTTTCTTGCCTTGATTCTTCCCTTTGGGCTGCTCTCTGGAGACAATGATCTTTTGCATCCTTTGAAGATGTAGTCTTCTATTATTTTACTTATTTTAGCCCGATAGTAGGGAATAGGGGACTAATGACATTTCATGTTAGTCTGATTAAGTCTCCGTCTTAGGCAGGCTTATCCTCAGTCTTGGAGGTGTGACCTTCCCATGTGTTCCTGACTCTTCTTTAACTATAATGGTGCTCCTAGTGCATATTCCGATGCCTCCTGGGCTACGGCATTTTTCCATTTTCCTTCTCCAGCTCTGTTGAGTTTCCACCAGTGTTCTCACTTTCTTTTGCCCTTCCTTCTTCAGATTAAGGCTTACTTTCTTTAGGGAAGATGGAGTAGATTGGTCTCAGCAGAGTTTCAATAGTGTTGGCCATTCCTCTCTGTCAGCTGCACTTAATTTCCACCAGTGCTCTCAAACTACAGTTGCGTTCCCTTTCTCTATGAAGACTAAAGCTTTTGTTTCATAGAATACAAAGGGAGAATGGTCTGGGCACAATTTCAGCAATGGCTGCTATTCTGTTTTCCTCTCCAAGCCAGAACTACAGGACATCTTTTTCAGAATTCTTCTGTACCTGGTGGAATTCCTAGAGGATGCAAAACCACCTATGTCTTCAGCCCCAGGGGCTTCACATTCTCATGCTAGCCCACAATGAAACTTTAGCAATTATTAAAAATTTTTAGCTGAATCTTCTTATGAGTTTATATGTTGTGCAGTAGTATCTATGAAAGATAAACAAATACCTGGGCGCTATTGCTCCCTGCAGATGACTGCCTGTCTCTATGGATTTGGGGTTAGCTGTTCACACTGTAATCTCAGTTTTCTGATGAATTTGGAAGTCAGTTTGAAATTTTCCAGGTTTTTGTTATTGTTGTCATTGTTATAATAGTAGGGAAGATGTTTTCCCAATTCAACATCTCTGAGCTGATACAAGAAGATGATGGGGACCTGGGGATAAGCCTTTGAGATTTTGTTTATCTTCCAGCATCAATACCCCAGTTTACCAATTCCCCCACAATGGTGATCATGGTGGGTTTACCAGCTCGAGGAAAGACCTACATCTCCACGAAGCTCACAAGATATCTCAACTGGATAGGAACACCAACTAAAGGTATGTCTCTGAAACCCTTTGTTCTATAGCCCCCTACCAGCCACTGGCTGAAGAGTAAGGTAGCCGGCTTCAGAATGCCTCAAAACATTATTACCAACCTTAGGATTACTACTAATACTATTACTACAACTACTACTACTACCACCACCACCACACCCTTAAAAGTTTTACAATTTCTTGAGCACATACTCTATGCCTAACTGTATTCTAGGTACTAGGTATAGGAAAACTAGTAAGATTAAATGTCTGTTCTTAAGGAGGGCATGTATTGCATGGAGAACTGGGTGTTATATGAAAACAATGGATCGTGGATCACTACATCAAAAACTAATGATGTATTGTATGGTGACTAACATAACATAATAAAATAAAAATAAAATAAAATAAAAAAATAATAAAAATATGTCTGTTCTCAAGGACCTCCAGTTTTGCAAGAACTTAACACAATCCTATGAGTAATATACTATTTTTATTACCATTATTATTAGTATTATCATACCAATAATACTATTTTGATTAGCATTACCATTTATCCAAAACCTTAAGATTTTCTTCAAGCCTTAGGGTATGTAGAATGAAGCATATTGAAGCCACAGCCCAGAGGTTCCCACAGGGTCTTCACTAAAGCTGGGCACCTTCATTCACCTCATCCTCTGGAGTTCAGAAGGTGTCCACTCTCTCCAAGCCTCTCCTTAGGTCTGAGCTTTTTTACTTCCCCTCCCCAGCTGGAAGTGGTCCTGCCTTTTTCCACCTCCAGAAGGGCCTCCTTCCCTGCCTGTCAACCTCCTCCTTCACTCACTGCTTCCAACTTTCCATTCTCCTCAGTGAGATCTCTTTTCTGCTTACTATCAGTTATTTAGTAATCACTCTCTCCTATTCCCCATTTGATTTCTCTACCCACCCCCACCCTGTATCTCCATTCCTATTTGATTGCTATGTTCCCCCTAAGAGGACTGTACTTCTCTGAGCTCCCATACCAACCCTCCCAACAGCCCCCTCTATGCCAACACTAATTACAGAGTGTGCTGTTGTAGTGTGTGTCTGGGTATCTCTCCCCAGGAGCTGTTCTGGGGACAGGGGACCAGGTCATATTCCTTTCCTTCTCTCAAGTATGACCAGATTAAGACATTTAGAGGCTCTAAACAGTAAGAAATAGGGTGACTCCACATCATATACCATTCAGAATAAAAACAGTAATGGTAAGAAAATCTACCAGTGTTTTTTATTTATCCCTGATGATTATATTGATACTTTCAATGAATATCAACTTATCTAAAAATTTTATTGGGACCATGTTCTTCCTTTACTGGTACACTAAGTACTTAGACTCTCTCTTGTGAAATGGAGCACTGCTCCCCATTGCAGCAAACAGTTCTCCTTGGGCATTTATTTATTCAATCATTAATTATTCATTGAACAGATAGCTGTGTGAAAGCCCTTGTTGGATATTGGGCAAAGACAAGTAGGATAGGATGCCTATCCTCAAAGAACTAACATCTATTCTTAAGTTCTAAAATGCCCATAAAAAAAGAAGCTAGTATTATCATCATTCTACTGTTGATTAAATTAATGCCCAAGAGGTGAAGTACCTCTAAAAGAACATGGCCACCGAGTGACAGAACCAGGAAATGAGCCCACATCTTGTTGATTCCAAAGCTGACACTCACTGTTCCACCTCTGCTACTTGGCTCTACTGATGGGGAAGAAAAAATAATCCCACCTTGACCCTATACTCATCTTTTCTCCATTATTTTTCTCTCCTTTCTCTTGCCCATCTCAGGATCCTATCTTCCCCCTTTCCTCCCTTTCTTCAACTCTCCTCTTCTCTTTCTCCCATTTCTTCTTTTCCTTCATGCACTTTCTCTAATTCACTGGCAAAGGGTTTCCCAATGGTTTTTTATGTGCCAAAACCCATGCTAGGCATTGAAGACACAAAAATTAATGAGATTCACACACTGACCTTGAAGAGTTTTCTATCTGTCTGGGATGCATACTAACACCTCATGGTCACTTAAGGAATCCTAGATCAGGGTACTGAGGGGGCTCACAGAGGAAATCACCAACTGGAAGGCAGAGAAAGCTCCTAGATAGGGTATATTTGAGCTTGGTCTTGTGGGAGGAGTAGAACATTGGCAGAAGAGGAAAGAAGGAATAGTTCTTGTGGAGGACTGTGGCTCCAAGTAGCTTCTGTTGGGTGTTAGGAGAACATGGGATGGTGATGGATGGGTCTCTGCCCTAATTCACATGCTTTCCATCTGCTCCAGTTCAGTCCATTCTCACAGAGCACAAAGCCTCAGAGTCATGTTTCAAAGCACAAAGCTTACCATACCTACAGCCTCCAAGGGTCTTCTTGGTCTGCAGGTTTAAGCCCAAGCTTTTTAGCCTGTTGTTCAAGGCCCTCCACAATCCACCCCAGCCAGTCTCTCAGGCTTCAGTCACAGTGAATGACTCACCATCCCCTAAACATATTCTGCCTTCTGCCAATGTCATACCTTTGCTTATGGTGTTCCTCTACCTGGAATGTCTTTGTTCCCCACTCCCATCCCCCATGCCTGTCTATAAAAGGCCTGCCTTCCTAAAAGGACTGGTTCAAATGCTGCTTTCTCCAAGAAATCATCTTAGATTACCCTAAGTGTAATTAATTTGTCCTTCCCCCTTATTCTTTCGAATGCCTGTCAGAGAACTCAACAAACTGTGTGGGAACTCTATATTTACTGGTTTACTGTCTGTCCTACTTGCTGGATTGTGAGCTCCTTGGGACCCCATCATGCATATCTCATCTATCTTTGAGACCTCAGAACATGGGTCCTGCTTTACAGAGTGTGCTTCAGAATGTATTTATTGAATGGATGAATGAAATATTGCATTAGCTTCTTATCCTCTTTCTCCTCCTTTCCTTACCTTCTCTCAGGTTTTTCACTGTTACTGATGAGAAAGTATGGCTTAGAGAGGGCAATAAATTTAGATTCTCTGTCATGATACAGGAAAATGTAGTAACATTGGACTAGGATTCAGGAGGCCCAGTCTAGTTCTGTTACCCCTGACTCACTAAGTTACCTGCTGACCTGTTTGATCCTTAGTGATTGATTTTACTCACTGGATCTGTTTCCTTATCTTTCCAATAGAGTAGAGCATTGAAGGGTTAGACTTTATGATAGAATAGAATAGCAGAAAATCCACTAGCTTTGGAGCCAAACAGACCTGGTTTTTAATCCCAGCTTCCCACTTATTAACTATGAAAATTACTTCCTATCTCTGAACTTCAATTTCTTCATTTGTAAAATGGGATTATAATTTCTATGTTGCAGTGTTGTTGTGAGGAATAAATGAGATGGTAGCCATAATTTGAAGCTTTATAAGCATATTCTATAGCTACAAATTATACCTCCTTCAGTCTCTAAAATCCTTCCCAGCAATGACATATTTTTCTGCTAGAATCTTTCCAACCTCTTCACCAGGTCTCCCTGCTTTCAGTGTTTAATTTAGGCCAGTACCGACGAGAGGCAGTGAGCTACAAGAACTATGAATTTTTTCTTCCAGACAACATGGAGGCCCTACATATCAGGAAGTAAGTGTCTAATATTTTAGAGATCAGTGCTGCCCCTGGTTGAAGGAGGGCTTTGTTCAGATAATGGGGGTGTGGGGCAGAGTAATTTGGTTTAGCAAAGAGGTCTTCCAGACTCTCAAAGGATGGTTGGAAAAGCCCTTCCCCTAACTTACCCAAAGTCTGTTTCTGGTCATAACCATCCCCTACTTAAGAATTTAGGAACTAATGGTCTCCTACTCCTTACAGGAGAGAGTGGAAAATTTAATAGTCTGAGCATTTAAGAGTCTCAGTAGCATGGCCCATTCCAGTCTCTCCAGTACCACTTATTCAATTTCAAGTTCTCTCTCCTCTACAAGACACCGAGCACTTCCAGGACAGATCCTAGGTCCCATTTATTGATCCATGCCCTTATAATAGAACCCAGCAAAGAGTAATCACTAAATAGATTTTTGCCAAATGCATAAATATATTGCCACCATCATACCTGTGCTTGTACTGTTACCCATTCCAGGAATGCCTTCTACTTCACACACTATATACTCAAACTCTACCTGGGTTTAAGGACCAGTTCCACTTGAACTCTATCCCCTCAAAGGTTGTTTTTTAATATTATGTCTCTGTCATTAGTCCACTTTTCCTGGGTATGCCACTTTATGCCTGCCCCTAAAATGTGCACACAGAGCCACTTTCAACTGTGTGACTTGTCTGTGCTTGTCATAGTGCCTAGAACATAGGATACCCTGTGTAGATGTTTCATTGATGAATAATTTAATGTGAGATATCTGAGGGATGGTGCAAAAGACAATGGAGAAAAATAGAGAGGAGCTCATCTTGGGGACAGGGATTGTCTGTTTCTTTCTCCATCTTTTTCAGGCAGTGTGCCCTGGCAGCCCTGAAGGATGTCCATGACTATCTCAGCCATGAGGAAGGTCATGTTGCGGTAAGGAAATTTGCATTTTCCTTCAAGTTTCTGACAGAATGAAGGACCCCTAATATGTATTGAGCATTTACTATGTTCTACACACTATTCTAAGTACTTTGCACATATTAATTTAATTCCACCCTCTCCCATGAGACAGGCAATTTTGTTATACTTCATTTTATAGCCCAGAAAAATGGCACAGAGAAACTAAATAATTTCCCAAGGTGGCACAGCATGTATGCAGCAAGGCCAAAACTAGAATTCAGGTTGCATAGGTCCAAAATCTACACTCTTAACCACTATGCTTTACCACTCCCCCCACCCAAGAATTCAGTAAGACTTCAGTACACTTTAAGACTACAGTACAAACATTTTTGAGTTCAAGAGATTTACCTAAATATCTAGTCAATTTAATCTCATAGACTGTTGGGGTAAGATTTGTGAATTCTAAAGGGGAAAAGATCCTCAAATGGTCCCACCTTAGGTGCTGAAGATAGGGAGTTGTTTCCTGTTCTTGAAGAGCTCCAAAGTGATAGGGAAGGAAGAGTCCTCAACTAGGAATTGAGAAGATCCATTCTAGCTCTGCTCTGTTAGCAACTCTTGGTGGCCTTGGTTAAGGCAAACCTTTCCTCTAAGCCTTGGTTGTTTTACCTATAAAATTACCCCAATAAAAATTTACGATTTTCCTCTTGTTTATACCTACAGTCTGCTACATTTCTGGACTGACAGCAAGGGCTCAATGAAAGCTTAAGAAATTGGAATAAATCAATTTCAAATCCTTTCTATTCTTCAAAACTCAGTCAAGTTCTATGTCACCCTGGAAGCCCTCCACTTAGCACAAGGATAGTCAAGGCATAGGTGTTCTCTCAAAACCAGATTCAGAGTAAACCAATCTCATCATTGACCTCTAGGTTTTTGATGCCACCAACACTACCAGAGAACGACGGTCACTAATTCTGCAGTTTGCTAAGGAACATGGTTACAAGGTATAGTAACACTCCCACTCTTATCTAGAGCCTACTTATCTAGTACAAACCCCAAAGAAAGGCAAACCAGAGGACTCTAATCTGTCAAATCAACTACAAATCAGGCTCAACATTTTAATTTGGTTATATTACAGATCACAGTTAGAAGCAACAAAACAGAACAGGAAAGAGGTGCTATATTAGGAAATGGAAGATAATTGCTGACAGGCTGACACTGTGGGGGGTGGAAATGAGGAAGGAGAGAAGAGAACTACTACAAAAAGCATATATAAGAACTAAAAACCAGTAAAAACATAAAAAAATAATCCAGGGCCTTTCAGTTTAGAGTCAATATGCCTCAATAAAACTCAGAATCCTGAAAGTAGCACTGTATGAAATTATGTTGTCAGAGATGCCCCTAGGGATGATTCAGAGCCACTGAGAAAAAGTGAAGCTATGTTTGGCCTTACCAAATATAATTCCCTGCTGGAAATTTCTCTTATTTTTCTCTTATAGGTCTTTTTCATTGAGTCCATCTGTAATGACCCTGGCATTATTGCAGAAAACATCAGGGTGAGCAGCACCTTACCCTTTCCTCCTTATTTTTCCTCAGGTTTGGATAACACCTAAAAAGACCTCTATGAGGCTATTAAAGGTGGTATTCTTCTCTGAGCTTCTCTTCCTACTTCCTATAGGAAGTATTTCTTGACTACCCTGGCCTACAAAGCAGAGAAAGTCAATTATCATATGGTTTCACTTATTTGTGGAACATAAGGAATAGCATGGAGGACATTAGGAGAAGGAAGGGAAAAATGAAAAGGGGGAGATTGGAGAGGGAGATGAACCATGAGAGACTATGGACTCCGGGAAACAAACTGAGGGTTTCAGAGGGGCGGGGGTGGGGGGATGGTTTAGCCTGGGAATAGGTATTAAGGAGGGCATGTATTGCATGGAGCACTGGGTGTTATACACAAACAATGAATCATGGAACACTACATCAAAAACTATGATGACTAACATAAACATAACATAACAAAAAATATATAAAACAAAATAAAATTCATATTTTCTGAAAAAAAGTCATATGAAATTTAAAGAAGCCATAATATAGAGTCCTTAATATGCACTGGGCACCAAGCTTGACTCTTACTGATTTGTTACAACAAGGCTGCATGTTAGGAATCTTTCACTGTTGGAGAGAGGAGACAGAGATTCCAAGAGAAGAGTTTTCAAGGATTCGTACAACCAGAAAGAAGTTGAGCTGGGAATGAACCTCAGGCTTGTATCAGAAATATAACTGTTCTTAGATTCTAGACATGTGGGCTAGAACTGGATCATCTGCCACATTTTATTGTTCCTTATGTCATGAAATTATTGGAGCTCAGGGACAAAAGAGACCTTATAGGTTACTTCCCTCAATCCTCCATCAGATACTTGAAATCTCAGCTAAATGTCTATATTTTCTTTTCATACCTCCAATAAAAAAAGACTCATTGCTTTCATCAAATGCATTCCAATCAATCTAAAATTTGCCTCCCTGAAATTTTAACTGATTGGTCCTATTTATGCCTCTTAGGTCATAAAACATGTCCAGTCCCTCTGTTCTTCCTCCACCCTTCCTTCTATCCATTTACTGATTCAACACAAATTGGATCTATACAACTGAACTGGGCCATTCTGTGTATTAGAGACTTAGAGGAGAGTCCTGCCCTTGAGCTCACAGTCTAGTGAGAGATACTGAGAGATACTGACAAGTTTATAGACATAACTCTGAGTCAGTGCTGAGATGAAGAAATAAAGGAGGCTTTAGGAGAACACTATTGAGTACCCAACCTTGCATGGGAGGGATAGATGTGTATCAGAAAACTTCTCAATAAGAGCAATAGCTGACCTGAATCTTGAAGAATGCATGGGAATTTAGCAGGTGAAGAATTGGATATAAGGGAATAGTATATACTAAATATGATATCACCAGAGAACTATAGTAGTTTAAGTTAGCTAGGGCAAAGTGTGTGAAAGAATAGGAGTACAATGGGAGATGAGATGAAGAAATCATTTTGGACTCAATTATGACAAATGGGCCACCTGATAAAATAGTTCACACTGTGCCCTAAAACATATAAGGAAATGGTGAAGAGTTTTAAGCAGGAGAATTCCATGGTCAGATGTGCATGTTAAAAATATCTTTCTGGCTGCTAGTATGAGGAGTACATCAGAAGTAACAAGACTGTAGACAAAAGTAATTAGTCACAAAGCTAGAGTAAGTGTCCAGGCGAAAGAGAACGGAAATCAATAGGAGGGATATTTAGAAGATAGAGTGGAGAAGATCTGGTGCCTGCTGAGAGATGAGGGATGAAGACACATCTAGGATGACTCTCATATTCTTTTTAGGCTCAGGTAACTGAATGGAAGATAGTGCCATTCACTGAGATGACAAATGTGGGTGGAGAAGATAGACATTGGGGGATTAGGATACATCAACCTTTCAGAAATTTAAAGCCAACATGCCATGTTTCTCATTAAACACTCAATACATGTAAGCCATTATGACCCCTGATCAAAATCTCCTGTTCCTTTTCTTCAACCGTTTCTCACATCACAATTTCTGGTCCTCTTTTATTTTTTAATTTTTTTATTTAAATTCAATTAATTAACATATAGTGTAGTATTAGTTTCAGAGGTAGAGTTAGTGATTCATCAGTTACATATAACAACCATTGCTCATTACAAGTGCCCTCCTTAATGCCCATCACCCAGTTACCCCATCCCCCCATCCACCTCCCCTCCAGCAAACATGTTTGTTTCCTATAGTTAAGAGTCTCTTATGGTTTGTCTCCCTCTCTGATTTCATCTTATTTTATTTTTCCCTGCCTTCCTCTATGATCCTTTGTTTTGTTTCTTAAATTCCACACATGAGTGAAATCGGGGCACCTGGGTGGTTCTGTCGGTTAAGCATCTGCCTTTGGCTCAGGTCATGATCCCAGAGTCCTGGAACTTTGTCCTGCATTGGGCTCCCTGCTTAGCAGGGAGTCTGCTTCTCCCTCTTCTTCTGCCCCTCCCCCTTACTCATTCTCTCTCTCTCTCTCTCTCTCTCCCAATCTCTCTCTCTCAAATAAATATTTTTTTAAAAAAAAGAATAATTGCCTTTCTCTGATTGACTTATTTCTTACTCTTATTTCTTATGATTCAGCATAATACCCTCTAGTTCTATTCATGTTGTTGCAAATGGTAAGATTTCTTCTTTTTGATGGCTGAGTAATATATATATATATACACACCATTGTATATATATACACACCACATCTTTTATTTTTTTATTTAAATTCAATTAGCCAACCCACATCTTCTTTTATTTTTTTTAAAGATTTTATTTCTTTATTTGAAAGACAGAGAGAGGGAGAGCACAAGTAGGCAGAGCGGCAGGCAGAGGGAGAGGGAGAAACAGGCTCTCTGCTGAGCAGGGACCCAGATGCGGAGCTCGATCCCAGGACACTGAGATCATGACCTGAGCTGAAGGCAGACACTTAACCAACTGAGCCACCCAGACACCCCACCACATCTTCTTTTAAGTGGTCTTCTTAAACACTGTGTGCTCTAGAACTGAGTACAATGTAACAGACCTTGTTTAATCATATAGAAATAAAGCATAAGGAGTCACACATTCCAAATTCACTTAAATTGACTGATTTGTAACTTGGCAAGACCCTTTGTCTAAGTCTCAATTTTTCATCTTTATGATGAGGATGTTGAATTCAATGATCTCTAAGGGCACTTCCAAAGGTCATTGTTAGAGTCTCTGTCTCTCACAGTTCTTCTGTTCTCCCTTTTCCTAGCAAGTAAAACTTGGCAGCCCTGATTACACAGACTGTGACCGGGAAAAGGTTCTGGAAGACTTTCTAAAGAGAATTGAATGCTATGAGGTCAACTACCAACCCTTGGATGATGAACTGGACAGGTAAGAACCCAGAACCCTAAAATCCAAGACTGGATCTTTAACCCTATTTTGATGTCCTTTAGGACCTGGGGAAATGTCCTCCCTCTCTGGTCCTCAACTTCTCTATCTGTAAAATCATGGAGCTAGATTTGATGATTTGTCTTCAAGGACCCTCCAAGCTCTAAGTATCTGGGGGTAGTGATTCCTTGATATATAAAATGTCCATGAGAGTGTTAAAATAGTCCCTTCCTGACCAATATGGGCAGATCAAGACCCTGATCTCTAAGAACAAATGCTTCCCTTCTGTAGTTGTTGCTGTTATTTTTTTCAAAAGCATTCCTCACACATGGATGACACTTCAGTTTCCAAACATGTTCACCTTCTTTGTTTCATTGAATCCCCTCAGCACCCCTATAAAGGAAGCCAAAATAGATCTTATGTTAATAAATTTTTAAGAAGAGGAAATTGAATCTTAGCTGAAACCACTTGCCAAGCTCCCAACACAAATCAAGGGGTAGAACTAGGATTTTAACCATATATTTTGTCTCCTACTCATGTCTCTTTTCACAAACCCATGTACCTCTTCAATCAATAAGTATTTGGCCTCTTTGAGCTGTGGTGTACATAGGAGTACAAATAATGGCAAGAGAGGTGGTTTCTATCTGCAGATAGCTTCCATAATGCCTTAACATATGGGAAGACACATGAAAAATATGAAACTCTCATTCATAATGCCAGGTAAAAGTTGGAAACATGTTAGCTAGTAGTACAGGGAATATGTGAGTTTTAGACATAGGATATTCCCAGAAGCCTCAAAATGGGTTGTGATGAGAAGAGACTGTGGTCACCCAGACCCCTTGGGCCCCAAGTGAGAAGTATGAGGAGACCTCAAATAGTCATTAAAACCTTAAGAAGTTTAAGCAACATCCTTCCAGCTTTGCCCAACCAAAATCCTAAGAGGCAAGTATTGTTACTGCACTGCACCTTAAATGGAGAAACTGAGACCCAGAACAGGGCACGAACTTACCTAAGGCCACATAATGAGTCAGTAGAACATTTATTCAAACCCTTATCTCAGACTTCCAGCCTAGTTCTCCCCCTCCCACATCCCTAAATCATAAAGAATTGTCACATGAGGCTTAGACGCTTGGTGCAAGGAGGAGGACCTTTATGGACAATTAATTGTAAAGATTATTCACTGTGCAAGGACAACTAGGTCAAGGGTACACTTGTTTTTCTCACCAAGGCATGTGTACTGGAGTGGGGATGTTTCTGCCCTGAGAAAAGTGTAACTTATTCAAATTTTCACAAATGCACCATATAGACTAGCAGCATATGGTGAAAGAAGCTTGAAGAAGGGGAGCTAAAGTGAAAGAAGCATTGAGAAAGCCCCTAGTCTTCAGCCTAGACTCCTGCAGGTGCTCAGTTAGTGTTTGATGAATCAGTTTGGGCCTAAAGATGACATATTCTGAAGGTTGGCTTTATTTAATCATTTTTACATCAACAGATATTTACAGTCCATGTATCAGGGCCCAACCAAAGCTGTGCTCTAGGAATCTAAGGAGAGAAGGGCTGTCCCTGCTGTGATAGAATGCCCAGTTGGTTGGGGAAGCCAATGAATGTGCAGTTGATCAGAATTGTAGAGATGGTAAACCAAGTGGGCTAGAGAAACACAAAGGAGAAAACTCAGCCCAGCTTGGGAAAAGAGATCAGGAAGAGTAGGTTTACCCAGTATAGGTAGACTAGGCATGTGTTTGGGGTACCAGAAAGGTGGAATCTACCAAAAATAGGAATAAAACAATCTGGAAAGCTTTTACTATTTTAATTTCAAAACCAGCATCAATGTGGTCAAAATGGAAAAAAAATCACAAAATTTCATGAGACCTCTTCATTTTATAATATAGTTTATAATTTTTATTTTAGATTACACATGGTAGAGATAGGCACTAGCTAATATATTACTTTTGGTGGGAAGCACCTCTAAATGACTTCACATGATCCCGGGCTCAAAGAAGACTTCCTAGAGAGAGTGAATGTGCTGGCTCTTAAGGGATGGATGCATAGGAGCTCAGCTTTGGAAAGCAGGCAAGGAATGCCTTTTCAAGCAAACAGAACAGCATGTAGTTAAATCTGAATAAAAGTAGGGAAGTTTAGAGAATATACCAGCAAAAGCACGAAGGCTAGATTGAAACAGAGAAATTATGGGCATGGGTGTGGGTGTGGGACTGTGAGGTGAGGCCAAGCAGGGCCAGAATGTCAGACTAAGGTGAGGAATTTGAAAGTTCTCCTAGAGCTACCCAGGACCTAGCATCAGGAACAGACAGTAATTAGGCAACAAGGCTACATCAGATATTTTCTACTGCTAGATTCTGAGAGTCCTAGACAAGATAGTTGGACAGATTAACCTTAAACAAATCATTTCCTCTCTTTGTGCTTCAGTTTCCTCATCTATAAGACAAAGGTAATAATCCCTGATTCCTAGGATGATTATAAGGATTCATGTATTTTAGGTCCCCACTCCCTGCCAGATGCACAAAAGAAAATGCTCAACAAGTGCAAGTGTCCTGTAGGAACCGTTGGACATAGAGGACAGGGATGGGAATGATTAAGTATGGTACAGATAAAAAGGCCTTCTCTAGGAAGATCAGAGGAGGGGCTTTCTGAAACCAAACCCATCAGCCACTGATTTACATGCCTTGGGTTAGTGAAGCTAATTCTATTTACTTTGTTTTGCTACTGTGCATCCAGGGTTCCTGGTATGCCACCCCATTGGTGCAGCCTTCCCCACCTCTTCGCAGGGATCTCCTTGAACTCCCTATAGTCCAACAACTAAAGGACTCATGCCTGGTACAGCAGGGGCCTCAAAAGACTTACTCCATGGTTCTAGTCTTCTGATTAGTCAGTATTACTCATTCCCAGCTCCTCTGCAGACAGGTTGTTGAATAGTTTGATTATCACTCTGTGTATAGTTATTAGTTCATGACTAGAGCACAGAATTGAGGGGATAAAAAAGGAGCTTGAAACAAGGACCACAAGATATCCGTGTTGTGGACCATCTCTGTATCCCCACATTCCAGTACTTGGCACACCTAAGAGTGAATGACTATTTATGGAAGGGGTATTGAGCATTGGTAATGTGTTTCCAAGTGTATGTTCTTGACTGACCTAAAAGCTCCCAAAGGGCAGATGCTGAGTCCCCACTTCAAACACAATGCTTAAAACAAAGAAGAGTGTGTTTGTTGACTGCATGACAGGGAAAAAAAAACCCAACCCTTTTCCCTTTCTGAGTGGGAAGAGATATACACACACAGACACAAGTGCGCACAGACAAAATCTGGTAGCTGCCTGTAGGGTGTCAAAGACAATATATCATAGCAGAGACAAAGAATAGAGGTGCAGAGCTCAGCTTGAAATTTAAAAGACTGAGTAGAGAATTCAGGAGCTGCCAGTCAGATGTGGAAGGCAGCCAGGGACACAGGATTACTGCTTTTCTTTGAGTATGTCAAGAGTGTGAACTATAAAGGACAGAACCCAGATCCCTGGAGTGTAAAAAGTGAATGTGAAAAGATAGCTTGGATCAAGCTGAAACTGAAGAAAGGAAACAGGGGGAGATGGTAGCAGGCAGTGAGCTCTTTGGGGGAGGCCAGGAGCCAAGTCTCTAGAGCAGGTACCCAGAATAGGGCAAGGCATGACATTTTGTTAGAGGAAAGGTAGGTGAAACCTGCATTGTACAAGAGGCTTGAAGGTGGGGTTTGTGGTTGGGGATTTGTCTTGGGATCAGCCTCTCTATCATCATCCCCTGAGCTGCCCTTGCTCCTGCTTGGGCTGGCCCAGCCACCTATCCTACATCAAGATCTTCGATGTGGGCACACGCTACATGGTGAACCGAGTGCAGGACCACATCCAGAGCCGCACAGTCTACTATCTCATGAACATCCACGTCACACCCCGCTCCATCTATCTGTGCCGGCATGGTGAGAGTGAACTCAACCTCAGAGGCCGCATCGGAGGTGACTCTGGTCTCTCAGCTCGGGGCAAGCAGGTAGGAAGGGCCCCATGCACTCTGAGACATTGGCTGAGCTGGCTCAGGTGGGCTATGGGTGGGTGGTACAGCCACTGCTTGGGTCCTGAGGATGGGAGGACTCAGGGACAAGGTAAAAGCAGGTTCTGGTCATAACCGCTCTTCCACCCAATCAGCCACTCTGTCTTGATCCATCTTTGAGTGACTCCCATGTGTGCTAACAGCATCTGCACGTCTGTTAGCTTGGTCTTGACACTTCAGGCCTGCCCAGATCTGGCTGTTCCTCCAGCCCCATTACAGTGAGCACCCTTCACCCCTGCCTGACTGGTTCCCCTCCTCTCTTTCACAACTCTATGCCTTTGCTTGTGCAGTTTTCCCCACCTGGGCTGCTCTCCTTTGTCAGCTGGTGACCACCACATGCCCTGACAGCTGCCCTGAGGTGCCCCATCCTTGAATCTATTTTCTTCCTTACTCAGGGCTGATGCCACAGCCCCCACCCCGACTTCAGCCCATCCCACTGTCAACACTTGTCCCCCACCAGTTACTGCTCTTTTCCCGCCCTCCCCCCACCCCCTTCCAGGGCCCATCTGCTGCTCCATGGTTTGGTCCAGGAAGCCCTCCCCTGTCCTCTCCTGCTCTCCCAGGCAGGTCACCGTGCCCTGGGCTCCATCTCTCCCAGTTCTGGCCCATCTCTGACTATGGCATGAGTCTCCTCTCTAGCCAAGCATAGTAACCTGCACATTACGGGTATAAAATAAAATAAAGGCACACATTTTCCTTAGTGTTTGGCCCTGTGCCTAGGCTTGTTAACACAGGTATTGTTCTTGCGGGGTGGATGGCTTGGGTAGAACAAATGGAAAATGAGGTGCAGGAGGGAGGAAGCACTCTCTTTTATTGGGCATCTGTGCACAGTCACAGCACCATCTGCTTCCACGTGTGTGGCCCCTTTCAATCTTCACAACAGCTCTGTGGGTGGACATTACCATTAATGGTTTATGAAACCTGAGGAAGCTGAGGCCCAAGGAGGAGAAAAGAGCAGCCCCAGGTCATGCAGCCAGTAAAAAAGAGCCAGTATTGAAAACTAGGCTTTCCTGCCTGCCCCTCAACATCCCCCCACTGCAGAGGTGGTATTATCTTAGGCAAGGCACTGCACTGGAAGGCCTGGTCCTCATGGCTCCCTTTCTGATTCCTTCAGACTGGGAGGCTCCCCTTGAGGTGGACTCAGACCTTTGACTCACACCCATCTTACTCCTCAGAGCAGAGTAGAGGGTACTGGTGGCATCACACCTGCCCCATGGTACCACCTGCAGCCAAGGGTCTCTTGGTTGGGGCCAGGTATGGCCCTGCCTTATACAGCTCAATGCCCAGTTTGGACACATGGCTATCTCCACAATGCATACTGCCTTCACACACAAACTTGTGCATGTACACATAAATGCCTGGCCCCAACCTTCATACTTATGGGCACAGTGCACCATGCAGTTTACAAAGCACTTTCCCATAGACTCTCACCCATAATCAATCACAGAGGCTGTCACCTATTGTATGTCAGGGGGCACTCCATGTGCTCCTCTTCCACTATCTAATGTGATGTTCATAGGACAAGGTTCAGTGAGCTAATGCTGTTCACATCTTACAGGCAGAAGATGTAAGGCCAGAGAGAAACTGGGATGTGTCCCAGGTCACACAAGGACTATATAAGGATGCTGGGAAGTTTAACCCCTGTTGCCTGCTTTCCAATCAAGGGCTCCTTCCATCAGAGCACACTGACTACTGACTCATAATCCATAATTAGAATGTGTATACACAATACTTATATTTGTACATACACATGTGTACATATAAATACATCTATGCATTTGTGCCAATGTTCCTCACATACAACCTGTGACTAATAACATGACTCTATGTGAAAGAAAAAATCACTTGCTCATTTAGCTCCCACAGCTTTTCATGGTTCCTCTCAGTGCTGTCATTTTTTCCCTTACTGGACTGGTTGTGTCTTGAGAACAGGACACCCTGATACGAAGCACATGACCACATGCACTCAGTATATGTTTGAATGCCCTTAGAAGCTGGGTTCCAAGATTCCAACTCAAGCAAATGAGAATCCCCAGAGTCAAAAAGAAATGTCCCCCAAATCCCACACCCCCTACTTCTAGACCACACTCTGAGGACCCAAAACCCAGAATCCCCTACCATTCTGGCTTGCTTACCATGCCTGTGTGGGTCTATCCCAGAGTCTGTCCACCTGGGCTAGTTTTTAGTGTTTACCTCTAGGCAAAAGGGTGGCCGAAGGGTCACTGTTTGTGGATCATGGGAATCAGTGGAAATAGGGGGTGGACAGAATTTGGTCATGTGACTAGGTTATCTGCAAACATGTACTTGAGGCACCTACAAGTGCAGGATGGAGGCAGAAATGGGAAGAGAAAGGAGGTTGACCATGTAGAGTGCCTCCATTTGTAGTCTTGTTCCAGGCTCCACAAATGCGAGAGGTGGGCTATTTGAATGAATAACTGAGTAGGAGGTTTAATAAGCAAGTATCAATGAACACACACACACACACACACACACACACACACACATAAACACACTTACCCTTTTCTATTCCCTTGATCCTTGTCATATCCTTGTTTATAAATTGGAAACATTAAAATTCTACTCTTTCTTGTTCATCATCATTTCACCATTTATGGCAGATCTCACAGCTACTGTGTCTTCTTTCATCTCTCTCTTTCTTCCCTTTTCTCATCCTCTGCAACCCCACTCCCCAGTATGCCTATGCCCTGGCTAACTTCATTCAGTCCCAGGGCATCAGCTCCCTGAAGGTGTGGACCAGCCACATGAAGAGGACTATCCAGACAGCTGAGGCCCTGGGTGTTCCCTACGAGCAGTGGAAGGCCCTGAATGAAATTGATGCGGTGAGACAGAGGGGGATGGATTTCCTGGTGGCTGATGGGACTTGACTCTGGGTTTATCCCCTGGATTGCCTCTGCTTCGGCTCCTATGAAGAACACAATTAATTCAACAAATATTTCTCAACAACCAGCCATATACCATACACTGTTCTGTGTGCTGGGGAACCAGTGAAGGCCAGAATAGACATGTTCTTTGTCCTCATGGAGCCCAAAAGCAAGCCATAAATAAGACAGTGCATATCCTATGACAAAACGTTGTAAGAAGGGAAGTATAAGGGAGATGAGGTTGGAAAGGAAGGCAACTCAAAGAGTTTTATAATTCATGTTGAGGCATTTGGGTGCTGCCCTAAAAATGGGAAGCCAGTGATGTGGTCTAAGTTAAGAAGTGGCCTGAATGTGATTCACATTCTTAAAAAGAAGACAATACCGTATTATTTCACTCATATGCAGAATGTAATAAACAAAGAAAAAAGAAAAGATAAACAAAAAACAGACTCTTAAATAAACAAACTGGTGGTTGCCAGAAGGGAGGTGGGCAGGAGGATGAGTGAAATAGACACTGTATTAAGAGTACACTTATCTTGATGAGCACTGAAAAATAAAATTGTTAAATCATTATATTATACACCCAAAACTAATATAACAGTATATGTTAATGATACTTGATGAATATAAATAAATAAATAAATAAATAAATAAATAACCATTCTGGTCATGTGTGGAAACTAGGTAGGAAAAGGGCCAGAATGAGTATGTAGATCAGTATGGGGATAGTTGCATTAATCCAGGTAAGAGGTGACAATGGACCAGAGTAGTGGCATTGGAAATAGAATGAAGAAGAAAGACCATCTGACCCTCATGACATAGCAATCTTGCTTCAGAGTCAGGTTTTCCATGTGCTCTTTGCGATGGCATTTTTTCCTCCCCATTGTCTCACCTGAGCTATAGGTAAGCTGACATTACATAGCAGTCCACAGGTTATGATTGTTAGACCTAAAAGTAAAAGCTTTATCACAAGTATAGATAACTTGCATGTAGTTAGGTTAACTTGCTTGCCTGGTAGATATACTTCAATAAATATAAAGAAGTATATGTGTGTCTACACACATACACTTGTACTTAGCATACAGATGTACAGATATGCATATTTAGAAAAGGAATATACAATATTGTTCTACATATCACATATAGTTGCTATAAAATACATTCAAGCAAATATAGAAACCTTCATCATAAGAGATCAGTCACTACTTTTTTCTGGCCCACATGTGGTGTAAACATTTATTGTATACCTACTTTGTTTCAGACTCTGGGGTGGTGCTGGAGAGAGAAATTGATCCTTGTCTTCATTGAATTTTCAGTCGAAACAGGATAGATAGAAAAAAAAAACAAACAGAAGAATACAAAACAGTATGTGTGATATAGTCTCTGATAGGCTAGACCATGGATGCACAGATGTCCAGGCAGAGCATCTGACCCAGCCAGGATCTGCCTGGAGGAAGTGATGACTAGCTGAGAGTTACTTAACAGTGAGCCAGGTAGAGAGAATCAGGAATGGTATGTCAGGCAGAGAGCCACATAAACAAAGAAAGTAGTGTGTGTGTGTGTGTGTGTGTGTGTGTGTGTGTGTGTGTGTAACTACTAAGATTGTAGCAGTGGAGATGAGAAAGAAAAAGGAATAGATTTTTGAGAAATTTAACAGTTAGAATTACAGAAATTTGCTCTAGGGGAGGAGTAAGGAAGAAGTAATAATTTAGAATGATGCCTAAGTTTCTGGTTTATTTTCCATGATCAATAATATATTATTAATTAATTAATTATTAATATAATATTAATTTATTATTATATTATATGTCATAATATATTTTATATAATGTTATATAATATAATATTAATATATTAATATCAGTATATAATATATATATACTGATTGAGTCTTTAAATGTGCCTTGTACATTCTGTGCTAGGCTCTTTTACATATATTATTTCTAATATTCGAAATGCTTTTGTGAGGTAGTTGTAATTCTCCTCATTTTTCAGATGAGGAAAATAAAATTCAAAGAGGTTAGGGTATTTGCCTTAAGTCAATATGAAGTCAGTGTTCATTACCACAGGCAACAGGCTCCCAGCATGCCTCAAAATAGAAAGTCAAAGCTAATCTGGAAGGATCTTGTGTATCCAGTAGAGTGCACTTTCTCCCATGGACGGTGTCAGTAGAGAAATTTGACACTGCAAAGCTGTTTTGTGGGCTATGACAGGGGTGAACTTCACCCCTAAAGAAAGGCTGGTATATGATTCAAAAGACAACAACCAGAGCCTGTTGCTCCTTACAGGAAAGTCTAATTGGAATCCACACAATCAAAAAAGAAACCTTATAAACCCAACATTGCTTCCCACCTCCACTCCCAGCAGCCACCTCACTTCCGGGGATTTTTCAGTGAACTTGGGAAGCTCTCATGTACTCCTGAGGAACTCATTCTCTGAGCTCTGGATTCCTGCTTTGGGTGAGAAGACTATTTCCCCAAGGCCCACTCTGAAACTGTTAGGAATTTATTAATTCTTGTCTTCTGAGATATCTGTGGATACCTGTTTCTTTATCTGCCAGAGGTCCTGGAGCATAGGTAGGAGCAGAGGGGATGGGAAATGCTATAAAATGGGAGAGCACTGCTATGTATGTGCACACGTGTGTGCTTGCATACACAGTCATAGACACCCACCACAAATATGCTTATACTCACAGACATACACTTCACAGACACATTGACCTTCTAGTCTGACATAGGATCCCTTTCAGATACATCTACCAATCTACACCTGCACCATGCATGCACACACATACACACTCACAGACAGACACACTTAGAGATACATATAGACACTCACCATAGACACACATGCAATCTTTGTATATACCTACATCACACGGACACATAGGCATACCATGGTGATGGAAATGTACAAAGTGCAGGTGCATAACCTCAAGCATATTACCATAAATTCACATGACCTCAGGCATAAGCATACAGCTACTCACACATATACACCAGAGACATAATCAGAGACATACACACTCACAGAAACACATGCCACAGACACACTGAGACACACATGGAGAAACAGACCACAGAGACACTCATGTGGGCATATTCTCAGATGCTCAGACAACATGTACACACACACACTCGCCAAACACACTACAAATACTGAGACAAATACACAAATACAAGGCATATGTCTTTAAACATACCAGCATGATACACATATACACACAAACACAGTCTAAAATCCTTAAGCCCATATATTTATAAAATACATACTTAAATGCACAATGTACATCTACAAACCTATTGGGACAATCATAGAGAAACACCACACATGTACCCACCATATACTATAAACTCAAACTAAACACACCTGTACACATGTGCACACTCTCACATACACACACCTCATGCACACACACACACACATACACACACTCAGACAATAGGCACAAACATAGAGCTGTCTTCACAGACAACCAGGTGCTTGTGTGCTGCTCTTCCATAATCACTGGATTCAACTATGGTAAAGGTTGTATGGATTTCATCTTGTGAATACTTTTGTCCCCAAATAATTTTTCTCAGGGTGTCTGTGAGGAGATGACCTATGAAGAAATCCAGGAACACTATCCTGAAGAATTTGCACTACGGGACCAAGATAAATATCGCTACCGCTATCCCAAGGGAGAGGTAAGGTTTGGAAGTATTGCCTGACTCCTAGAACTCCTCCCAGTATCTTCATTCCAACAGCCAAAATTCCATAGTTCCCTGGACAGCTTTAGAAGCAGAGTAAAGCATATTTTGTAGCAGCTCCCATCCCACAACGCACATGATAATCTGGCTCTTGGCTGTCTCTACTTCGTGGCTATTGGCAACAGATTCCTCTTTTATTAAAGCTAAAATAATTGCCTCCTTATTTCCCACCTGCTTTCAGAGGGGCTTCATCCTAGATTTTGTCTCTGGTATCCTTTCACTAAAGACACCTGAAGTAGTTTAACATACTCCTGTCATTTTATTGCCAAGCTGCCTAAAGATACAGTCTCTCTGGACAGTGGGTTAGAGTCCCAAGGGACAATGGCTAATAGTTAAACCAGATTCTTTGCCACCACATGAACCAGACCATCAGTTCCCTCATTCCTATATCAGGTGGATCCTCATCACTTTCAACCCAGCAGCTTCATTTAGCCAATTCCACAACTTAAAGTATTTATTAGTCATATTCCATTTTTGATATACATTCCTGGGAACAATTATCGGAAAAGCAGGACACCAGGGAAAGTAAAACAATAGACATCCTGTGATACAAAGCAATTTCACACTTTCATCCTCATCCTCAGAAATGACATTATAAAGTCAGTCTGAGTTTGCCTTTATTTTCCCTTATATATTTTGAGGCTATGTTATTACAGGCATACAAATTTAAAGCAATGATATCTTCTTAATGAATTGCATATTTTATTATGAATAATAATATTTCCCCTTATAAAGTTTTTTGCCTGAAAGTGTATTTTATCTAATATTAATGTGTGTGTGTGTGTGTGTGTGTTTACTGGTTAGTATTTGCCTAGTTCATCTTTATTCACTTACTTTCAATTTCTCTGGGTATTTTTGTTTTATGTCTCTTGTAAACAGCATATAACTGCTTTTTTAGAAGACTTATTTACTTTATTTCAGAGATATAGAGATCATGAGCAGGGGGAGGGGCAGAAGGAGAGGGAAAGAGAGGAAAAGAAGAAGACTCTCCACTGATCGTTGAGACAAACACAGGGCTCAATCCCATGAACCAGAGACCATGAACTGAGCCAAAATCAAGTCAAATGCAAAACTGACTGAGCCACCCAGGCGCCCCAGCTTTTGTTGTTTTTAATACAACCTGAAAATATATGTCTTTTGAATGGTAGTTCTGATACATTTACTTTTATTGTAATTACTGATTTAATTGAGCTTATTTCTATTCTTTTATTTGAGATCTTTTTTTTCCCCTGAGCCTTTATGCTTAGTTTATATTTCTCTTTTTCTCCCTTCTTTAGATTTCTGCTCCTGAGATTTTACACCTATATTTAAGTTATATAATGTTTCATTCTTTTTTAATTTTTTTATTTAAATTCAATTTAATTAATATGTACCACATTATCAGTTTCAGAGGTAGAATTCAGTGATTCATCAGTTGCATACAACACCCAGTGCTCATTACTTCAGGTGACCTCTTAATGCCCATCACCCAGTTACCCCAGCCCCCCACCCACTTGCCCTCCAGCAGCCTTCAGTTTATTTCCTATAGGTAAGAGTCTCTTATGGTTTGCCTCCCTCTCTGTTTCCTCTTATTTTATTTTTCCTTCCCTTCCCCTATGTTCATCTGTTTTGTTTCTTTAATTCTACATATGAATTAAATAATATGGTATTTGTCATTCTTTGACTGACTTATTTTGCTCAGCATAATACCCTCTAGTTCCATCCACGTCGTTGCAAATGGCAAGATTTCATTTCTTGATGGCTGAGTAATAATCCATTGTATATACCACATCTTCTTTATCCATTCATCTGTTGAAGGACATCTGGGCTCTTTCCATATTTTGGCAACTGTGGACATTGCTGCTATAAACATTGGGGTGCATGAGCCCCTTTGAATCACTATCTTTGTATCCTTTGGATAAATACCTCAGAGTGCAATTGCTGTGTCACAGGGTAACTCTGTTTTTAACATTTTGAGGAACCTCCATACTGTTTTCCAGAGTGGCTACACCAGTTTGCATCTCCATCAAAAGTGTGAGAGGACTCTCTGTCCTCCACATCCTCACCAATATCTGTTGATTCCTCAGTTGTTAATTTTAGCCATTCTGACCGGTGTGAGGTGGTATCTCATTGTGGGTTTGATTTGTTTCCCTGATGGCTGTGAAGTGGGGCATTTTTTCATGTGTCTGTTAGCTGTTTCTAAGTCTTCTTTGGAGAAATGTCTGTTCATGTCTTCTGCCCATTTCTTGACTGAATTTTTTGGCTTTTGGGAAGTTGAGTTTGATAAGTTCTTTAGAGATTTTTGGATATTAGCTCTTTATCTGATAAGACATTTGCCAATATCTTCTCTGATTCCATAGGCTCCCTTTAGTTTTGTTGACTGTTTCTTTTGCTATGCAAAATCTTTTCATCTTGATGAAATCCCAATAGTTCATTTTTGCTTTTGTTTCCTTTGCTTTGGAGACATGTTCTAGCGAGAAATTGCTATGGCCAAGGTCAAGGGGCTATCCAGTTTTTCCCAACACCATTTTTTGAAGAGACTGTCTTTTTTCCATTGGATATTCTTTCCTGCGTTATCAAAGATTAGTTGACCATAGAGTTGGGGTCTGGGGTCTCTCTTCTGTTCTATTGATCTACGTGTCTGTTTTCGTGCCAGTACCATACTGTCCTGATGATTACAGCTTTGTAATACAGCTTGAAGTCCAGAATAGTGATGCCACCAGCTTTGGTTTGGTTTTGCAACATTCCTTTGGCTATTCAGGGTCTTTTCTGGTTCCATACAAATTTCAGGATTGTTCCAGCTCTGTAAAAAATGCTGATGGTATTCTGATAGGGATTTCACTGAACGTGTAAGTTGCTTTGGGTAGCATAGACATTTTAACAATATTTGTTCTTCCAATCCATGAGTATGGATGTTTTTTCCATTTCTTTGTGTCTTCCTCAATTTCTTTCGCAAGTATTCTATTGTTTTCAGATTAAAGATATTTACTTCTTTGATTAGGTTTATTCCAGGTGTCTTATTTTTTTGTTGCAATCATAATTGGAATCAGTTCCCTGATTTCCCTTTCTGCAGCTTCATTGTTGGTGTATAGAAATGCAACTGACTTCTGTGCTTTGATTTTATATCCTACCACTTTGCTGAATTCCTGTATCAGTTCTAGCAATTTTTGGGAGGGGAGACTATTTTGGGTTTTCTACATAGAGTTTCATGCTGACTGCAAAGAGTGAAAGTTTAACTTCTTCTTTGCTGATTTGGATGCATTTTATTTCTTTTTGTTGGCTGATTGCTGAGGCTAGGACTTCCAGTACAATGTTGAACAATAGTGATGAGAGTGGACATCCCTGCCTTGTTCCTGACCTTAGGAGAAAAGATGTTTTTCCCCATTGAGAATGATATTCGCTGTGGGATTTTCAGATACAGCTTTTATGATATTGAGGTATGTTTCTTCTTTCCCTGCACTGCGGAGAGTTTTTGACAAGAAAGATGCTTTTTCTGCATCTATTGAGAGGATCATATGGTTCTTGTCCTTTCTTTTGTTAATGTGGTGTGTCACATTGACTGATTTGCAGATGTTGAACCACACTTGAAGCCCAGAAATAAATCCCACCTGGTCGGGGTGAATAATCCGTTTAATGTACTGTTAGATCCTATTAGCTGGTATCTTGATGAGAATTTTGGCATGCATGTTCATCAGGGATATTTGTCTCTAATTCTCCTTTTGGTGGGGTCTTTGTCTTGTTTTGGGATCAAAGTAATCCTGGCATCATAGAACAAATTTGGACGTTTTCCTTCTGTTTCTATTTTTTTAAAGAGCTTCAGAAGAATAGGTATTAATTCTTTAAATGTTTTGTAGAATTCCCTTGGGAAGCCATCTGGAGCTGGACTCTTGTTTTTTGGAATATTTTTGATTACTGCTTCAATTTCTTTCCTGGTTATGAGTTTGTTTAAATTTCCTATTTCTTCCTGGTTCAGTTATGGTATTTTATATGTTTCTAGGAATGCAACCATTTCTTCCAAATTGCTTAATTTGTTGGCATATAGTTGCTCATAATATGTTCTTAAAATTGTCTGTATTTCCTTGGGGTTGGTTGTGATCTCTCATCTTTCATTTATGATTTTATTTATTTGGGTCCTTTCTCTTTTCTATTTGATAAGTCCGGCTAGCTGTTTATCAATCTTATTAATTCTATCAAGGAACCAGCTCCTAGTTTCATTGATCTCTTCTGTTTGGGGTTTTTCTATTTCTCTATCACTGATTTCTGCTCTAATTCTATTAATTCTCATCTCCTGCTTGATTTAGGCTTTATTTGCTCTTCTTTTTCCAGCTCCACTAGGTGTAAAGCTAACTTCTTTCTTTGAGGCTTTTCTCGCTTCTTGAGAAAGGCATGTATTAATGTAATTCCCCCTTCTGCCTGCGTTTGCTGCCTTCCAAAGGTTTTATTTTTTATATATTTTTTAATTTAATTTAATTTTATTATGTTATATTAGTCACCATACAATACATCATTAGTTTTTGATGTAGTGATCCATGATTCATTGCTTTCATATAACACCCAGTTATCCATGCAGTACCTGCCCTCCTTAATTCCCATCACCGGGCTAACACATCCCGCCACCCCCTTCCCCTCTAAACCCCTCAGTTTGTTTCTCAGAGTCCATAGTCTCTCATGGTTCATCTCCCACTCCGATCCACCCCTTCATTTTTCCTTTCCTTCTCCTAATGTCCTCCATGCTATTCCTTATGTTCCACAAATAAGTGAAACCA